CTTCCGTTTTGTTAAAGTTTGGGTTAAGGCCTATTGTTAACATAACATCAAATCTATATATTAGCCATCGATAAATTGATACGTTCGACATTCTAACAGTATCAGTACTATAAAATTCTAAATATCGAACTCCTTATAATTACTATATGTATTCCGATACCATATAATCTCCATTTCAAAAATTTATTTGTCACTCAGGTGTCCAATCTAAAGCGATTAGAACCAAATTGTCGTGGTCTTTGTCGTGGTCCTCCAACTCATAGAGTAATAACGTAATTTTCCTAATATTAGGAGTGAAATTTCAAGAGATTGGCCGAAAATCTATTGAATATCTGGGATACTATTGAATCTGTAGCATCAATCATTATATATTGTATATGATGTATAATGTAACATAATAATTAAGGAAACATCGAATCATTCAGACCTTTTCTAAGTGATTCTAATAAAACTACCAAAAATTTCTGACTTTTAGTTAGATAACAAATGTAAAATTTCAAGGAACTTGATGTTCAAGGGTTCGGAAAGGATTAAAAATATATCAATACTTTCGTATAATACAAGTCTTTACGAATAAAATTCGATTGAGCATCCAGCACTTCGTTTAAATGAAATATTTCTAGACCCGTTCGCTTAAAAAAAAACAAAAAATACGAGATTAAATTTAAATTGTACATACTTTCCTGACTGTGTTTCAATTCCAAATCAAAATTAATTCCTGGGTTTCAGTCATTTATTGTCTCTATTTATCAATTAAAATACGTTTCGGTGTATTTTTCCAGCCAAGCTTTGTGTCCAAAATGGACAAAATTAATACTCCAAATGTATGCCAAGGCTTAAGGCAGCAACAACGCTACACATAAAAACTGATGATGGTGGAAAAATACACCGAAACGTATTTTAATTGATAAATAGAGACAATAAATGACTGAAACCCAGGAATTAATTTTAAAACAACCATCAACGTTGGAAATGTTATATATTAGAACGTTTAAGAGTTATAATATTTAAATTATTATTCGATATTTTTACTCTAATCCTTAATATGTTCAGTTATGTTTCGACAATGTACGCTATTATTTATATAATTGCTGTTCTATATGTAGAGTCTGGTTTTGCCTCTGTTCGAACGTGTTGTGTTTGTCGAAATTTTTTTCGTCGTTTGTTTGTTTGTCGCACTATTCCCTTGTGTTTGTCGAAATTGATTTATTAAGCCATACTGCAATGAGAGCAGATTTATTAGTAAAATTTACTAATAAAATTGACTAAAATTGTCCTGCTGTGGATATATCCGTATATGTATAAAACAGATGACATCCAATTTAAGCTAGTAGGAAAAATATCGAGCTAAAACTTGGTACAGAGCTTGGCTTGAGCTCCGGATGAAGTACAAGCTCCAGACGCTGAAATCGAACCAGAGACCTACGTATTATCGAGTGATATCAGAAAATAAAAAATTATATTCATCGATTTTTCTTAGTAGTATGTTTGACTCGAGTACTTAATGCGGTTTACTCGTTTTTTTCTATTTTTGTTTCTTGTTATTTAAACAAGATTTAAGCATGTGTAAATATTTTTCTTCATCATATTTTGCAAATATTTATTTTTTTAATAGGCAGGTCTATTTTGATCTGGTATTAACCTTCTTTCGGTTGTGCGCTGATATTTTATATTTCATGCATTCAATCTTAATTTTTGTTAGAAACAGGATCGTCACTTTCTAGGTTGGTTCAATTTACTTTCCTGACACGCCCAGAATTTGCTTATAATTATGAATCTATCTATGACTATGATATCAAAAGTTAATATATTAAAATAAAATATTGAATATAAGAATGTGTACGTCGATGCTAAATGTCACTGCTAAATTATCCTCAATATTCTGAACAACTATGGTTTCATACCGCGGAGGATAAATAAAAAGGGGGCAGCGATAGCTGGGGGTGCGATATCCAGTCACAAATTATGATTAACACTGTCTTAAAAACCAGCACTTGAAACTAACACAGAAAAGTGAGTTTGGAACTGATGCTGATCCTTCAGTACGTACGAGAACGTTGTTGGACACTCAAGTCGATAAAGTTCTCGAGCTGAGCTCAAAATCAGCTGCTTTTAAATGTTCTGCTAGAGGAAAATGATAAGAATAATTAAGGAACATTCCGAAAAACACCACGACTCTTAATGTGCTGAAAAATTTCAGAATTTAAGGGCAAAATAGAGAGATCAAGAGGCCATACCAGGTTCTTCAGCTTAAAGATTTTTTGTGTAAAAAAACGGTGCATCAATGTGTAAGTGTTTTATAGACGCAACACATGGGACTGAAAATAAGAAGAAACAGAAACAGGTTATCATGCATATTACCAAATAACTTTTTAGCTCTAAAGAACATAACAATCAGACGTATGGCTTTACGATAACGCAATTTCAATCCGACTCAAGATGCTTGAAAGCAATATGTGCATTATTACTCTATTAACCCCCCACGATTAATGCTAAGGACTGTTGGCTCAAAGCTTGGAAGGCACCAACATTAATCACAAATAGCCACCAACATACATTGGCAAATAAGCGGAAATTGCTTAATATTCGGACCGCCTCTACACATAGGTCAACAGAAATAACGGTGGATTTCCAACAAGGCAAAAGACAGAATTCTATTAATAATATTTATATATTTATATAGCTCCAGTTTTTATTTTGAATGGCAACGGTATTCGTTATTATATCTGCACGAGACAAATAAAGTAAAATTACTTTGCATGTGAGTTACGGAATAATGTTTCGGATGATGGTTCAAACCAGTCTCGTAGGTTAAGGGCCTAAAATGTCTATAGTCTAATATTTTTATTTCCGGCGTAGGTACTTGACTACAATGACTCAATTATTCATTCATCACTTAGAGCGTGAATTTCTAAAAAAGTATTGTATAGGAGTACTTAGTTTATATATTTAAAAAAAACTAATTTAAAAGTTCAGCATCAATATTTTTGATTCGAACGGGCAATACAGACAACAGAAAGAATACCGGTGAACTGGCAAATTACTCTGTCTTTTGTACGTTTATGGAATTAATAATGGAATTAATTCATTTTCTACTGATGTTTCTCAAGCACCAGTGGTTTGGATCTTTAGAGGTGCTTGTGGTTGAACGCTTTCGTCACCTATCAGTTAAAGTTAAAGTTATAAGTTTTCAAGCGGAAACTTGATACTCCGACGATTCAAAAATGCGCTACGATACAGGACTAAGAATGTATGGGGACAAGGCTAAAATGAACTTGTTAGTTCAGACACAGTAGCATAGCTGTAACTTGCAATGATCTTTCACATTGAGACATTTAGTGTCGTTGATGTGTTAACTCAAATTGAAATCTGACAAAGACCTCGAGTTAATGTTCAAACTCTGACTACAAATTAATTTTCCATAAAGCAAAACATTTTTTTTAACTTAATACAGAACCCATAACCTGGCCTGGAAAGAAAGAAGAAAATGTGTTTAGTGCTGGGGAAAATTTGTTCAAAATCATGTCACTGAAAATCAGCAAAACAAAGAAAGAGAAATGTGAAGAATCCGTAAAACTTCAGTTGCTTTGCTGAAAACTAAACTCAGTTCAAACTAAAGAATTTATAGATTCAAAATTATTCTAACCAACTTTCTGCAAACTGACGCCCCATCCTCCATTTTCCGCCCATAATGTTTAAAAGTCCACACGGCACTTAAACACATAATGAAAATTAGCTACGAATTAAAGACTTTAGCACATCCTGTAGTTAGCAGGCACAATAAGCAACCGGACTTGCCTCAAAGGCCATAATGATTCTATACTTTCTAACTAGGGACGCGATTTACATAACACAAAAAAAACACGCGATTTATTTCAAAGCTGTAAGGAAACTGTAATTAGTAAATAAATATATTAAAAACAGGACATTGGTACTTCTACAGCTACAAAATAGAAATCTGTCCGTCTTCAGGCCGCTGAAATTCTCTAAAACCCCGATTTTTCCTCAAAACACAAAAAAGGAAGATCAGATTTAGAGAAACATCCGCAAGTCTGAATATAAACTTGATCTGGACCACGAACCGCCTTAAATGCGTTGGGAAGCAAAAAAATGCGGAATAGTCGGACGGATGTGCAATTTGGAGAAACATCGCCAAATCTAAATCATTAGGCCAGTACCACTTGTAACCTTTTAAGGCGGTATCCACTAGACAATGTAATAAATAAAATTCACATACGTTTAGGCACTTTAGTCTGGATTCATGGGTGCTATTAACGTTAAATTTACGTTACGAGAAATACACTAATAAAATAGATAATTAAAATTGTAATTGATAACAGAACACAATTGATAAAAAAAATTGCTTGCAGGACAGTAAATGTGTAGTTCACAGACAAACCCCATTTATTTCGCTTTTAAACTGTAACACTTAAACTGTTAAAATGAAACATCTCAAAAACCCAATGCAGAATCCGAAAACTTTCTCGTCGTTCCTCGTCGAAGAAATATTAAATGCAACAATATCATAAAATACAACTCAATAATATGGGACTAAAAGTTCTAAAACTATGTGGCAACCAGGGACAAAGTCATGCCAAACTTACCGAAAGCTGCATGGTGCCACCTGGAAAGAAAAATGAAAATGTGTTTAGTAGAGCAGAAAATCTGTCCAAATCCATGTTATTAAAAATCAGCAAAACAAATAAAGATAATTGTAAATAATCCAAAAAACTTCATGTTAGCTTTCAAAGTTCGATTCTTTTGGGCACGACACGCCCCCATAATAATGGTAGCTCCTGCCCCATGCCTGGTGCATGTGGTGTGTCATTTGGCGAAGCATGTTCCATGCTGTGCAAGTACTTTGTGTAAATTCAAGGTTTTCCTAAGTTGATATACTTAGTTCAATTTTTATTGGAACACAAAATGCCAAGGTTACTTAATAAAACATATCAACAAATGACTTTATGACTTCACGTTTTCAATTATTTCTGGTACTGCAGGATCTGTTGCATTGGAACAATCTCTCTTGCTTTTCCTGCTGAAGACATCAAACTGGTGAATCAGCCCATGCCTGGACAAGAATTTGTATTTGTGCATTCCTCGGAATCTGGGGCCAAGCCCATTGCGCGTAAAGAAAAAGAAGAAGAGCACGTAAGAATTTAGAATCGCAAAATTGAACTATTTCGACACATCGATACATTTTTGCTCTATAACAGAAATTATTTTGGCGTTGTTTTCAGCATAGAAAATTTGAAACAGCTCATAAAATACCGCCAAACCTGACGTTCGCATTAAGCGAAGAAGCTGACGAATCTGAAATCTTGCCCATTAAACCTGTAAAAAGCGTAGGAAAGAAAGTGCATAAAAGATATGCCGCCGAACCACCAGCTCCTGCACCACCAGGTAAGAATGTTTAAGACTGCATCGTATCTTAGTAATTACTTTACAAACCATTTTCAATACCAGCTAACTATCGATTAATATCTAATTGTATAAACTTTAGCTCATAAATTCCAGTTCAGTTCATTCCTCAGGTAAAAATGCAAATGGAACATTAGCTAAATGCTAATTTACATCGGTAAAGTTGACCATTTTCATCGTAGAGTATATACAATTTTAGGGGCTATAAAGTTAAACGTTGCCCAACTTCTAGAAAAGTACAAGGAAGCTATGAAAACCTCAACAGTAGCACCTTCTTCGACTACAACGACATCAACAACGAAAACAAGTAGAAGGCGAGGCACTAAAAAGAGGTCTCGAAGATCACCATCGAGTGAAGTATCTGGTACTTATTCCCCTACACCATATTATATGTCGAATTATTCTGAAAAGTCTCATTTTACTTGAAGTAAAGAGTATTTTGTTGGCGACCATCGATAGATTGAAATAATTTGTAAATACTGTTTGGCCCGAAAAGTTAGAAAATGTATAAAGGAAATAGTAAATATATCTTTCTAACAACACAATGAAACTAAAATGCAGACCGTTTTTTAGGTCCAACAACTCAACGCCCGGTACTGACTACATCTCGAATTGCTCCTAAAAATGTAGATTTTGATGTCGTCGGGTCAGCAAGCGACAAACAAAGGTCAAGAATACAAATTAAAAAAGGACCTAATGGGCAAGAATATGAATATGAGTATGTCTATTATTACTATGATGATGATGAAGGTGCAAAGGACAAGGTAAGAATAAGTATCTTAATGCCAATAGCCAATGCACATTAATAATATTCTTGAAATCTTGCCTCCAAGTAACAGTTTTTATTACTACACATTAAGCTGACTATTACTACACCGTTGTTGGAATAAAGCTGATGAACATGTCCCATTAAATTTCACTTTTTAAAGGTAACTAACGGACATGATGGTCCAGCTAGGAACAGCATATCTAGAAATAACAAATCGAGAGAAAAAGCCACTCCTGAGGTCAATGAAGTATTACCGTCAAGAAGTAAACCCCGTGGTAGGCAGCTCGACGAGGAGGACTCCGTGCAGGAAGAAAGATTACCGACAAACACAAGGTTTGAAACTTGTCTCTAAAAGCACGAAATATTAATACATTACATACGCGGCGCGTATGATAAATATCCATTGCCACAGTATTTGAAAGCTGCTGTTAAAATTGTAGAAATACTGTACATAACACCTTCAGACTAATGAAATTCAACATTTTGATAGAACTGTAGAAATATTATATAAAAGTATTATTATATTGTATTGTATTGGGTAAATCTGCACTGTGCTCTTTGTATATTCAAATGAAGCAGGCCTTCCTTTTTACAGATTTCTTGGAATTGAACTCCAACTTTGATGAAGTTTTTCCATAAAATTAATGAACAACCACATATGAGTTAAAGAAAAGCAATTTCTAAGCAATGTGACTGAAATTTAGTTTCTCTCCCTATATATAATAAAGTATTTTGCCACATAAGAGCTGATGAAAAAAAATCCAAATAAAATTTTAGAACTGCAATTGCGGGAGCAGCTGCTAAAAACGCCTAATGTGATGCAAGTGAGCATCATTTGATTGCATCTTTTTTGCCTTGCAGATATTTTACCATTTTGTATGGTTTTGGTTATGCACTTTTACCACAAAAACTTCGCACATCAAAATAGTATAGCCCTTAACATAAATATCACCTATTAGATTCACAATCATTTGTTATAGTGATTAAAGTAAATTTCCGAATTTATTCACGAACCACATAACATATATTTAAATTTCAGCATCTGATTGATTGGAAATTAATTGAAAATTGCAGGACTTAAAAAAACGGTAATCACTTAAAATGTGCTTTACACCACTTTGAAGATTAACACTTGATAACAAGTAAACGACGAACTCTCAATTATGTAGGTTGAACGTTACGATATTTGTATTGACACATTTTTTTAATAATTTCACTTGCACGCCGCTAAATATCAAATGCCCAATACAATATCTGCAGGTGTACGATAATGACCTAAAAAAATTAGAAAAGTTTTTCACTATAAATCTATTTTTTAAAGCACTCTCATGTTTTTTTGAAAATGTTTTAACATTTTTCGCGCCGGAAAATTTCCGACGGTTTTGTCACTTCAACTTTGAAACTGTTTATTTTAAAGTACTGCATAAGGTAATTTGCTATTTTATTTAGAAAGCATTTAAATATCCAAATAACTACACGTGACCACCATAAAATCTACGCAACTATCTATTTTAGATATTTGCACAAAAACATTCTTCTTTCAAATAATGTGGCATTGAATGGGATATACACCGATTTGGAGAAATACTACAAAACCTATAAAAATGTACATATGACTAACATATTTTCGAAATAATTGTAGAGTACTAAGATTCCACTTCCATACCATGACATTGTGCATCACGCACTTTCACTCATTTGTCTTTTTATGTGATATTTCCATTTACTTGACGAGAGAACAGACTCTCTAACGCTTTCAGATTCCCTCCTAGGAGCAGAAATCTGAACACAACTCCTGCTATTGAGGAGGACCGAAAACCAAGCGCTTCCCGAACTAGAAGTAGGGGTAGACCAGCTGCTGAAACTTCCACATCAGCAGCAGAAGAAGATAATGTTTCAGACGAGACTCAAGTAAGTGTAAAGACGATAGAAGGATATATGTTTAAGAGACCTCAAAATGTATCGGATATTATTTTTGAAGAATATTATAGTATCGAGAAATTATAAATATCTCACATATATTTTGTAGTTTCTCTAAATATCCATACTTGCAATATATCATAACTTTCAAAAACAATACATGTAATATTTTCATGCTAAACTCGAGAAAGAACTGGAATGGATAATTATTAATTCAAAGCAATGTGACTAAAAAGTCATTTTGAATATTTTCATTGTTAATTCAAATATCAAATCCAGTTGTTTTTCTTCACTTTGTATTCGTTTTACGCACGCAACTAACCAACTGATTTTTAGTCCATCGCACTGTTAGACGCACCAAAATTGCTTTCGTACTCCAAAACCACTTATTATTCTTAGGTATATGTACTGCATGTTTTTCTTACATAGCGATCGTTTCATTACCAAAAACCGCTTATTCACATCTTCTAATTTGGTATCTAAGAATAAATAAATATAACCGTGTACATTTACAATTTGTTAATTTCCTTATTTAAAGACATATTGGTTGATGAAGTATTATGGTAGACATTCGAAAGAATGTAGAAAGGATTATGGTAAGAAACCGTAATCGTTTGATTTGATTCATAGGTGTGTATGGGTTACACACTTAGTTAACGCCAAAATCTGAAAGCCAACAGAAATGATCTATGTATATTCTTTTAGAATGCGGTAGCATTGCCCATAATCAGATTTTTGGTTCGGATCTCTTAGCGCGTACCTGTCGATGCCAAAGACAGAGTAATTTTTTAAGGCATTCATCAAGCATTCGTGAATGTTCTGATACTATTAAATGGAGTAAAGTTACAGGAGGAAAATATGTAGAAACTTCTTCATTCAGCAAATCTTTTTCAAAACCCAGCGGCATAAATGGCTGTTTTAAGGAATTTGAATACTAAAAAATTTTAATTACAATTGGGTACAAATTTCAGGAAATAGCGGTACGCATAAAATGGCCATAAAACACTTATATTTGAGCAAATAATCATAAATATCACAGGCGAACGTATTAAAGCAAAATACATGTTTGCGGCTCATAAATTCCCAGTTGACTATCATCATCATCACCATCCGTGACCCTGGGAGGGTTTTTGCCGACTCAACTACACGTTTCCAAACTTTCCTATCAAGTATCCGATCAGCGCCATCTTCGATGTTCATGGCTTTGAGGTCTTTTGTCTCTGTCTGGAACCTCCTCCCACACTAGTTTTACCATTCTATCGTCCCGCCTTCTTTTAACGTGTCCTGCCCATTTCGTTTATTATGTTGGTATCAGTGTGGAGCCCTTTGAGTTCTTGATTGGTTTATTGGTATAACCATTGGTGGTTTATTCTATATTGTCCTTTCATTCCTAGCACTTTCCTTTCAAATACCTTAAGTCGTTCTTCGCTTGCAACCTTTAGTGTCCAGGTCTCACATCCATATATTACGACAGGCCTTATAATTGTTTTGTATATGTTCAGCTTAGTTTTCCTGGTAAGTGTTCTATATTTTATTAGGTTTTGAAGGGCAAAAAGGCATCTGTTTGCAGCCTGTAGCTATCCTGTTATTTATCTTTTCGGTGTTGTTGTTGTTTTCACTTCTACTTATACCCAGATATTTAAATTGCCTTTTCCGCTGAAAGGAAGTCCCCGATAGGAACGTTTTGTCCGACTCTATCTCGGTTCCGATTATTTCTACTGAGATATAAATATACATCTAATCTGTCTTTAAGGAATGTGAAAGTATGCCTTAGATGTTGATCCTCCTGTTGCCAATCACATCGACATCGTCTGCAAAAGCCAAGAGCAGTTTGCCTCTCCATTTCGGAGTTCCTAACTACATATTCCAATGCCAATGGCTAAAGAGTTGAAGTGAGAGGGCGTCACCTTGCTTGAGACCATTATTGATATCTACTAAAGGAGTCGAGACTCTGTCCCACTCTTGCTTTACATCGCGTATGCTCCAAACATACTTTTGCCAGCGATATAAGTTTTTTGGGAATCCAAGTTCTTCTATTGCTTGCCACAACTTTTTACCTGTCTGAAATCCATAAACACTTGTTGGAGTTCTCTGTTGAATCCCCGCATTGCTACAATATTTGCCTAATGGTTGAAATTTGGTTTACGGTGGACTTATTTGATGTAAAACCACACTGGTATTCCCCAGCAATCTCTTCGGTATATGGTTTCATTCTGTCCAGCAGGACATTGAAGAATGTCGTATAGCATGTATTCCGAAGAGTTATTCCATGATTGCTTGTACATTTCTTTTTGTCTCTAGCGCTTTGTTGTTTTTCAATTTCTTTATTGCCTTCACCGTTTGTTCATTCGACGGTGGCTGTATTTCTATTTCGGCCTTTGTATATTTGTTGGTAGCGTATTTTGGTTTTCCT